ATTATATTTTACAGTCTATTCAAATATTCTATTAATTTTGACAACAATGCTTAGTACATTAAATAAAAACAGTTAGTTTTGGATAGGTGGAAAGCATTTTACTTCTGTTAAAAGTGAAGAGCGAGTAATGGCACCTGTAATACAGGTTATACTTGGAACAGGAGTACGGAACTTATTTGATTGTGTTGGAAACTATTTAGTTACGACAAACTGCATTGCTATGTGTTCTTTAATTTTCTCATCTTAAAATAAGGCTCCTGTTTCGTGTTATACTTTTATTGTGTTTTTTTTTGGTTGGAGTGACTGACTGACTGACTGGGTTTATTGTTATTAAAGTTTAGGTTTATTTATTAATTTATTCCTTACAGAATAACTTACTTATTCAGTTTGTTAGTGCAATTAGTAGTGTCTTGATTTATAGTTATAGTCTGTCTTTTTTCATACTTTCATAGTTTCATAAAATTTGAAAAAGTTATATAGTTGTTGTCGATAGTTTTAGCGACAGATTGTAAAAGAAGATAACATTTGGCCATAAATGATTGAATTGTTAATGTTACGAATTTCTAATGATTACTAATTGCGTTATTGCCGTCTTTATTCTTAACTTGACAGTTGACCTACTAGTATCGAGATCAATTTTTATTCATGTATATTTTAACAAAAACAGCCGGATTTGTTGTCTACGTTAAATTAAAATGAAAAACTTTAAAATATGTCTCCTCAATGTATTTTTCATAAACACAGTTCTAAATACAGTATATGTGTGTATGAACTTACAAAAATTTACTATTTAAATGTACTTTTGCTCAGTGATTGGGTGAATAATAGGTCAAATGAAACAAGTTTGGCTAATTATTCCATAAGCGTCACCAGTATTCAGTCGATAGTCGACAGAATATTTATCGACTGCAATCACTAGCTGTTCGCAAGCAGGCCGCATTTTTGCGCAATGAACAGTCACTTTACTCCGTCTTCAAAAAAGTCAGACTTTAGTAGTGTTATGGGTGAGGGCCGGCTGCCTTTAGTGGTGGAAGTTTAGGTTACGTTTTATTATTATTGTTTGAAAAAAACATCTTCGAACACGTGAAAAATCTTCAAACCGCATTGCGTTGTCTGGCAGGAATCGCTTGAAGCGATAAGACCGCCCATTGTACCACCGCTTATTTTTTATTTAATTGTATTGTATTTGTTTCCTTTTTTGGTGTACAATAAAGAATTTTTGTATTGTATTGTATTGCGTTAGCGAGCTGTATTACTGTAACGTGTATTGAGGGCACCAGTGCCCAGCAGCGTAGTTACATTGTAAATAAACGCAAATATTTGTCCAGAATATGACGTTAAAGTTTACAGCATTGTGGCCGCTTTTACAGGTGACCCAAGTTTTCTAATTATCTTTTATGGTGTTGGTAAATCTTTTGTGGAAATAGGTATTTAGACAATGTTTAAGTGTTTTCCTTCTATTTTGGATATGTGATTAGTATGTCTTAGTTTTATAGACGTCTTTTTTATACAATACCAAATGACGGGACGAACAAGTCGTGCGCCTGGTAGTAAGCGGCACGCCTATCCATAACAGTTGCAGTGCCAGTTTAAATCGCAAAAACATAAAGTTTTTAAAGTAAAGGCACTGCACTGCGCCACTGTAATTTCACCAGCACCCTTACCCTTCTAACCCGGAACGCAGTAATACTCACATTACTGCTTGGCGGCAGAAATAGGTAGAACTTTCACAAGGAGCTTCATTGCTACATTTAAAATCTACGTCTACTTAACTAATCTCCACACTTGTTTGTTACTACTTTAGTGCTATTTGCAAAATATATTGTAGTATTTATTAAAATAAAATAGGTATTTATTAATAGCTTCATGACATCAATTTCATAAAAAAACATTAAACGTTACGCAACAGAAATGCAAATTGATTTCCTCAAGTATGTCATCAAGCAATCGTTATCATATTACACTTCAAGGCAGAACCACTGATATCCGCATAATAGAATACTTTCACAAAGAGTTATTACTGTAGTCTGAGCGACTCAGAAGAGTATAATTATTAGAGTCCAATTCAAGATGCATAACAAAATCGAAGACTAGTTTATTTGAAACCTGATCATTTTTAGCAATAACATTAAATGAAGCTGTGAAAACAAGATGAAGAAGTGTCTGTTTTTAATGTCAATTTAACTTTAAAATTCGCATGTCGAAATATTTGTTTACCTTTCCTGTAACAATTTATGTACTAATTCCTACGTTTATCTTCCCATGAAACCCGTCAGTAAACTTAAGGTGGCTTTAAAAACTAACTAAGTATTATGCGAGCAAACCAAAGCACTGAATAATTACTATTTTAAAACTTTCTTGTGTGCGAGGTTTTTTTTGTTTTCGAGGTTGCTTGCTTTCATACGAGGGCATTGTTCCCTATTAACTCTTCGAAAATTCAAAGAGAGAAAATATTACGTATTTCTTTACGTATTAACTTTCAAAATATTGGTATACCACATCTTTCTGGAACATTGCTGAAGCTGAGTTCACACTTGATTACATTACACTACAGCACATACTACAGTCCAAATAGTTTCGTAATACGTTTGTTCGCTGTGTTGCTTGGTGCTTGGTGCTTGGTGTAACGGGCTGGTGTCCGCAACTCGACGACAAGGCGCCTATTTTTTTTCTATTGTTCGCTGTGTTATTATCGTTCTCAGTTAAAATGGTAATGCAAAATACAAATGCGGTATTACGACGACGTAGAATGATGTAAAATTTCAGCATTTTTGCAAAAATGATGTTCACGCGAACCTAGATGTCGTCGTATAATATCATTTTTAAATTTTTATTGATTGTCACTATGTTTCACTATGATATTAAATTATTTTTTCTTATTACTCCCCTAATTAAACTGCCTCCGTGGCCAAACGGTTACCATGCCGGACTGCCACGCAGAGGTCCCAGGTTCGATTCCCGGGCCGGGAGAAATATTTGTATGGCCTACATTTATTTCTCTCGTGAGTTTGGGTGTAATTTGTGGTTGTCTAATTGTGTGTCCATGGCACCCGCGACACAGGGTTTCCCTAGTGCGGGGCTATGTTGATTGTGAGCGTTATTATTATTATTATTATTATTATTAATTATTAATACAAATATGAACTGAGAAACAGAACTGAGGACACTGAAAAAAATTCTTCGATCAGGCTGGATTCGAACCAGCGTCTTCCAGCAAACCGTGCTAGACGCTATGCCAACTAAGCCACGGAACGACCCAACGTACCTTACGAATTTTACTTTGTGGTGGTTGCAGATAGTGCCATCTGTGAGAAATCTATTACTCAGCTAGGTACCTTTACAGCTACTAACATCTTACTAGAGATGTCGCTTGAATAATTGTAAGTTTTAAATTTTTATTGAATGGCACGATATTTCATCATGATCCAATCAAGCCGGATCGAAGGAATTTTTACCTCAGTGTTCGATATTTGTATTAATAATTTGTATTAATAATTGAAATGAATGAATGATTTGTTGATGATATTTTGTTACTTTGTTCATGATTGTCGAAAGTAGTAGTAATCTAAGTAGAACGGAGACCCTACGAATAATCGAGAATTACTTATTTTTCAAGAAAGAACGCCACGTTTTGAACAGACAGACATATCAACTATATATCCTTTGACGTAATACACATTGTTTTACAGATCAGGTTATATGCATTATTATAAGATAGAATAATTTCCAAATTCTAAATTTTTATTCAATTGATATTCAATTATTTTTTGTGAAATTACTACTAGTTACTAGCCGGATTCGAACCAACGTCTTCGTGCCAGACTGCACGGATCGAAGGATTTTTTTCTGAGTGTTCGATCTTTGTATTAATAATTATTCCAAATTCGTTTAGCTTCAATACTCCGTCTTCATATTTCTTGGCATGTATATGAAGACGGAGTATATATAACAATAAATTTAAATATTTTTTCAAATGCCTGGAAACAGTTCTGTCCATTTTTTTCCATCACGTGGCTTCTATTTGACAACAATAGAAGCCACATGATGGAAAAATTTCACAGGTCATTGTGTACTTGGTACGTACGAGTATATACTTCGTATTGGTAAGTGGATCCATTAAAAAGTGGTATAAATAATACCTAGGCGCTTTACAAAATAAATTTCTACTTTAATAGAATACAATTCTTTCTTGATTAAACAATGTTCTCATTGAATGAACTGGAGCCTCAGCAAACGCTCTGCACTTATTATATTCGTCTATGGAGTCAAGGCGCAAAGAAATCCTTACCCTCGTCGTCGTACCTGTTGCCAGTCATAGACCCAAATGATTGATGGGTGTATGTATGTACCATGTCCTCACTCCTCTGCATACACTTCGTAGAGCACGAATCGCAATCTCACTACATTTACACGCCTTGATATTTTATCCCTGCAGTATCATCTTTTTTGTGACTGTTACTCAAAATTCACTAAGAGTCAACACTCAAAAGACGAAACGGGTTGAAATTGATAGCAGACGAATCGAACGACTTTAGACAGCTATATCAAGATTCAAATTGTAGTAATCGTGGCAGTTGTCCACTAAATCATAAATGTATTTATGAAGCGTAATTACATAATGATCCATTAATTTGGCCATTAACGTGAAAGGCTCGCCGCTCTTGCTAAGAAGCGATTGAAAATTGCATGCGTGAATCTCTGTCACCGTCTTGACGTTCATCACCTGCTCTATACAGACCACTTTAATTTTATATTTTTTTAAATTTTAGTTTTATATTGTGTAACTTATGAGTTCGATTTAATTGTTTAAAATTTCGATTTTACCGATTGAGTTCTAAAAAAGAGCTTCTCGGCCGAGTACCACCAACGAATGCCCTCGTCACGACAGGGCTACCTTTCACGACTACTTTCCGCTGTGACGTAATATACTTTAACAGTTCGACCACCCGTTACTCAATATTGGGATTCTGTTACCAAGTAAACAATGGTAGGTACATGCACCACACTTCTCATTTTATTAGAAAAGTAAAAAGCTATTCATAATACATAACAACAGTCATTGTAAAAATACTAACTTTCGAACAACGGTAACATTGTGCTCTATTAACAAGTAAGGGTGAAACTGGGGATGAGATATAACTCTGAGTTATATTACTTGTCGCGTTAACAGAGTCCACGAGCGAACTCTAGTGAGTTGACTTTGTTTAGGGAGACCGACCGCGAACTGCGATTGGAAGGATAAGAAAAGCTTTTCAACGTTTTCACGTCACAACAATTACAATGTATTTAATTGACTGGCATTGCGACTAAGTTCTCTTAACAATAAATAACTCGTCGGAATATCCTATCATCTAAGTTTTGAGGAGTCTTCGATTAGTGAAGAGGACCAGCAACGTGTCCGGGGGGACCATATTGAGAGCTGGTAGCACCCGAATGACCTCCTTCAGAACCGCTTTCGTCTCCACCACTAGTGCCAAAGTTAGCGCTAATTTCAGCACCTGCGTGACCGCTAGAGCTAGAACTGCTTAAGCTGACACTAGACAGATCAGCGCCGCCAGTAGCTCCACCGATAGAGGCGCCACCAGCTTCCTTCTGGGTCTGGTACTTGATGAAATATACTTCGGGTTTGGATGGCTGAGTGGGAGCCTGAGTTGGAATGACAATATCGGGCTGCTCTTCGGGTTTCTTGACGAGCACGTAGACCAAGGTCTTTTCTTCGTTCTGAGGCTGAAGAGGAATTATAGGTGCAACTGGGGTGGGGGGAGTTGGGGCCTTAATGAAAATGATTTTGTAGTGTTTCTGTGGAGGAGCGACCGCGGGAACACGAGGCGCCCTGTATTCTTGAGGTTCTGGTGGAGGTACGTGGACGTAAATATGCTTCTGTACCAAAGGAGCACCAGAGTAGCCACCAGCATATCCACCGCTAAAACCAGAGTCGCCACCGAAGCTAGTTCCAAGAGAGATTCCGCTTGAGTGTGAGCTTAGAGAAATTCCACCGGAAGAGTATCCTCCATGGGAAATGCCCTTGAGGCCCCCACTGACGGATGAGCTTGCAAAGCTGCTGGACTGTGCAGAGTATTTGTTCGAAGGAGCCGGATAGCTATAACCAACTGGCGGCTCGGGGCGAGCGTAAGCCAGCGCCACACAGGCGAGTACCTGGAAAAAAGATACGAATGTATATATACACTTGCAGTATGTGTTTTACATACATATTATTTGCACTAAGTTCATTATAAAATATCGCCAATATATATATTTGTAAAGTAGGAAAAATACCTTTGCAAATATGATGTAACGTGAAACGAAGATGGTTAAAATTTTTATGTTAAAATTTTGTACAACATGTATGCGAAGATTACACAGTGATAGTAAGCCCACCTAAAAATTAAATAGAGTATAACCGTTGTGGTTGCATACGCACATAACACCTCCACATCGAATACCATCACTTACACCGAACTAAGTGAATTAGTGTCGAGCAACTCGCCATATGGTAATTTAGAACTACTGAAATGTATAACGATAATATAATGTAATTTAAATTATTATTACTTTTACTTTAAAAAGATGAAAAACATATATAGGCGCAGCAAAAATGGTTCGCTCTGCAATATATTACAGAATGCCTGAAAAATTCAAGCACTCATTCAAATTAGTCGCTACGACGTCAAGTTGCGGAAACCAACCCGCTCTACCATAACAGCCTAGAGAATGTATTTCTGTCAGTCATAAAATATAAATTTATTACAACATATGAAAGTAAGTTTCGTAACCGATTAACTTACTGCAGAAAAATGTAACAATAATTAAAGACTGCGGAACATAATGCAATCAAACCGTACACTAAGTTTTGTGGGACTATATTAATAGGTTAATAAATATTTGCCTTATAACATTTTTTAAATAAATAAATAATTAAAATATTGTGAGTTGTCCGTGATTATTTGCGTTGTACCGAAATATTTTTACGATAATTTGAACAATTCGAAATAGTTCCAGTGAAATGGAAGATCGCACTGTAAGAATACCGATCAATTTATTGTTAAGACACTTTCATAACCATATACATTGTCATTAATCGTAATTATTATTATTTCCGAATATTATCTTCCTCCGAGTGTTATGCTTCATATTAACTTTACATTTTCCTATTTATACGGTGTTTTTTTTAGATCTTTTGCTATTATTTAATTATAAATTGGCTGAATTAATTCGTTGTATGACTATGTGACTGATTACTAAGAATCACAAAATCACCGCGAGTCGCAATCCAAGGAGTTAAACAGACGTACATCACTACTTGGCACACTACGGCAGTCCATCGATAACGATTTTATCTTATCACTGAACACCACACTACAGTTATACCACTTAAGTTGCCTGGAAAAATATTCACTTATGAAATGTCACAGTAATTTAAGTACCTTAGTCGCATGTGCCAAATAGACCAAAAATTTAAATAGTGAAAAAAGTATTTAATTTAATAACAAAATCGAATTTATCACCCGCTAGCAAACTTACCACGATTGAGCGCATGTTATGCGTGAGCACCGGCTGCAACGTAGCTTTAGACTTTAGTTACTTTTTGCGAGTAGAATTCCTATTCTTTAGAACAACTCCACTTTTTGGAGATGTTCTTATCGCCGTGAGCTTGTGTTAACTGATGACATTCGCCATGCCGACCCGCTCTTAAATAGCAAGGTGCTCATCTCGTCTGAACACTCCATCCCTACGACCATTTTACTCGGTAACGTGCGACTATCGTCATTATTTAACGTATATACGGTCCTTTCTTTTCGACGAGGTTGACGGGCGCGCAGCTCATTCGAGACGCAGCCTTACGAACCTGCGGTCGCCTCTGCGGTTGGCCTCCTTCAGCCTCCAAACTCCATATGGTCCATATTAGCTCGCACACCTTCACTCTGTTACAACTCTGTCGAAATTTTATTACTTACATCTCTTTTGCATAAAGCACGATCAGTTCGCTTGTCCAGCTGCACATCTACAATTAAAACAAAAAGTAGTCAAAATTTAGGATCCAAACAGCAGCCTGTATGATTAAGTAGTAATACGCAATAGTTTCATTTTATTATTATATTTTTAGTTCAATAATAGTTTGCTTTTAATAATATAATGTTTAATATTATGTTATTAAAAGCAAATAATAAATGTTGTAGACGATCAGCAAAATGTTATACATTTTTATCTACTTTAATAATTACATCACATCACCTGTTACAACACAACCCACAACATATTTTAGAGCTAAATCGTAAAACCTGTTTATTATGACTTTCAGACGCTAACGTCCGTTTTAGTAATAAGCTTAAATTAAATAAATCTAATCTATTACCTGTACTCTTAAACAAACCAAGAATTGTTGTGGTCTACATTTGAAATGCGGAATGAAACAGTTACACCAAGCATAAAATGTTCGTAATAATGTGTTTTGTGTAATTATGCGCTTTAACCGCATAAATAAATGCAGTTGAAATGATCATGACTCGCAATAAAACGCAAACATTTTCCGACCATCATGGCAAACGTGTGTCTCAAAACCCACGATCTTATTAAACATCAAGGAATAACCAACCTAACCGTCAATTTATCGAGATCTGTTAGCTATCGCAAACAAATTAATTTGCAATGTCAGTAACGGAAATCAAGTTGGTAGGACGCTGAAGTTTGCATTGTGGTTTGTAGACAGTGTCAATGTTCTAATTATACCATAAAGGATGTTTCGGACGTCTCTATGTTAGAGACGTATAACATACAACATTTTTAATAATTACAAGACGAATTTTTTATATACCATTCTGCACAATGCAACACCTAATTGTGCTGCTTATTACCTTCCCACTACCTACTACCTTGTTAGTGTTTCTAAACGCAGTGCAGGCTTATTTTCTACGTATGCTTTATATGTAAGCTGTTCTTATCATAGCGATTATATCATCATTGACAATATCATACACTTTAGTGTGAGTCCGAAGTATAAGGTAAAAGTGACTAAAATGAAGAAATTTCAATATAATTAAAAAAAAGTCCCAGTAATATAACGTATGGATAACAGGAACTATAACATGAGAAATTGCATTTTGTACAGGTAAGCTTTTATTGTAAATCACATTATTACAATGAATTCTAGGTTATCTACATGGTTAAACCAATTTCACAATATTACTTGTTTCGAGAACTATGTCAAAACAAGAATAATTACTGTAAACAATTTGTGTAACGCCCTCAGACCGTCAAAGCTAGCCAACACCTCCTTTAAAAGCATACCGAAATTCTTGTCTTTTTTATGATAGTCTCATTAAGAGGTTCCCAGGAGAGACACGTACGTGTTGTCGTATCTCAGACATCAGAACAAATGAGTCTATAAATTTGTATGGACCTTAAGGATGTCATAAGTTAACAACATTGTAAGTTTCATATGGTAAACACTAGATGCCATAATGTTGAAAATTGCCTGAGCGATCGCTCTCCATTTAAAAGCCATCCACGGCGTCACGTTGCAATCAAAACACCATCACTTTATTCCATACTAGGGACACATTAAAATAAAAAAATATTAAAATACCAGAATTACAGCTCAAGAAGATATAAACACCTAAATCTAAAAATGTGAAATTTTATTTATAAGTCAACGGGTTTGTGTGATGTTGTCAGCAAATATGACGAAATATTGTTTACCTCACACGATTGAACAACTGCTTGGGACCAATTTTTATATAGGTTTTGCATCGGATTTTAAAACTACAAAGAACTTATAGTAAAATACATAATAATATTTTATTTACATCATTTTATTTTACTGCGTTTAAACAATTTTTTACTGTAAAACAACAATTTTTTAAATTTAAACAATTTTTTAATGTAACTAAAATATATTTAAAGTAACCACACTATTTTAAAAATAAGTATGGTTTTATCTCAAGTGAAGTTAAAGTACGCTGGCCAAACAAAATTCATGGAGATCTTTGTACAGCAGTTTGAAGTAAACAATGAAGAGGAACAAGTGTAAACAATTTTCTGAGCTTGTGTGTCTCGATATCTCACACCCTTACAAAATGTTTGCGGTCAAAGTTGTCAAAGTAAGCTGCTACCCTTTCCACAAAGGAGTTAAACAAAAGTTAATCTTTCTATTGGTATGTTTATACACAAATTTCTGAAAAAAATACTATGTACAGTACATAGTATTTATATGTAAAGTCCAGTCTTTTCACTTTTGATATATTACATAAAGTGCTTTTAGTGAGATTCTTGTGCTTTTGGAGAGAATATACAAACAAATTTCCGACAAGACATACGTCCGTTTAACTTTTATACGTTAAAATAGAAACTTTATAATTTGCAAATACGTATTTACAATATTACTAGAAATTTGTTTTTTCTCTGATCGTACTTAAGCCGCTTATTTTGTTGCGAGAGAATAATGAAGCTGAATAACGATGAATCTCTTTTAAAGTTTAAAAATAAATATAGAGTGCTTGTAGTAAAGCATTTTATCTATTTGTATGGTGCCTCGTAATTATTCATGCCTTGACTGTCGATTATTTTATACCTAACTAGTTATAGAAATTAATAAACATCTGCCCGTTTAATCTTACGTAATGTATGCAACAGAACTATTCTCAATGACAGCAGCTGACAAGGTCAAGCGGTCATTTCGTTCAGTCGCTACTTCTCATCACCCACACCAGTGGTAGTCCTCATAGGATATAAAACTTATACATTCCATTTGCTTAGTGTGAGTGACCATTTTCATATAGTCTTACATGTGTATAAAGTGAACACTACCTGCATTCAATGCACAGTGACACAGGAACGCTACTTTCTAAATGAATGATTTTTTTGGTTTTACTGTTATGCTTTATTTAATTCATCAACTATTAACTCATTCCAGAAACAAATCAATCTGTGTTTATTATTATTTAACGTACTTACCTCGTGTAAGCTGTATGTACACGTAAAGATTGTTATACAATAAAACTCACTATACATATGTGTGATTACCACAAAATGAATGAAACCAATGTAGTGTAAAAATCCTACTTGTATTGTATGTACTGAAACTTGTGGATGGAATGTTTACTGAAAGCAAAAAGTAGCAATGAGACAAGTTTAGATAAAATTGTTCGACTGTTTGCTCAATGTTGTTTTCAATATGAAGCGAAAGTAGAGTAAGTATTAAGTGATTGTACATTTCTGTATTACGAGTGCATTTAAGAACCTGTTCCTTAAATTCGTATGAATTCCGGTTTCGTGCGGTTACCAAGTATATCCAGTCATTTGTGAGTGGCATTCGCTGCGTCTCCGGCGTATCTGTACTTCTAATAAATTAATAACTGAACCATTTAATTGCCTTCGGAGTAAAGAACCGAACAAAGTTGAAATAATTTTGTCTTGCTGGTACGAAGCTTGGTATATGTAAAAATTATTTTAACTTGTCTAAAATTGTTTTCATTATGTTAATTACTTCAGTACCTTACATACAGCAATAATATATAAAATTAAACAATTAATTAATAATAAATAATACAATTCAATTTAAAATGAATTAAGAAGTAGTGTTGCTTAATATGCCTGTAAATATGTATAAAATGTATGTAGGTGATTGTTTTGTGTTCTTAACCCAAAAGCTGTATCCAATATTAATACTAATTTTAGAGTCGACAATTGTACAATAAGGGAATTATTTGTCGCAGCCTGTGAACGAGTTTGGGGGTACCACACTACACTGATGGATTTATCAGCCGGCCATCGCTCTAAAACCGTAGCATCGTCTGTGCCTCTGTCAATGTTTCAAATATTTCACAACTTAAACCAGAGAACCCTCGTGTAAATATCAAGTTTTTGCATGTCATGTTTTACTACCACTAAATTCAATTGTTTTTTGTGAAATTGCTCCACTAATTTGTTACAATTGTTAATACAAAAATCGAATAAAAAAGAAAAATTCCTTCGATACGGCTGGGCTCGAACCAGGGACCTCGACATACCGTGAATGATACTCTCCCAACAGAGCTACGGAACGAACGAGCAGACTATACGAATTTCTCTATAGCCGGGTATTCGCTAGAACGAGTACCTGGTTATCTTCGGCCCACTGCGAACCGCACGCGTTCCATTCGCGACAAGCTCGCGAATCACGTACACACTATTATTTTAACATAACATGCAATTATTACGGTTACAGCTTGCTGTACTGAGTGCCCGGCTTATGTCTGCTACAAGCAGAGTTTTGGTTTTAACAACTTTCTTGTCATACCGCCATCTGTGAATAATTAATAAAAGCTAATAAAATGAATGAGTCAGCCGGATGGGAGGATTTTTTCTTAGTGTTCGATCTTTATATTAATTCTAAATTATAACAAACGGAGGACCCTTTTTGACAACTCATATTCTTAATTAACTCGTTGAAAATGTCGTACAGAGTCTCAGAATAACGTGTCATGCTAAAAAAAAATGAAAAACCTTCTGATCACAAGTTTCCTTGAAAAAGATGATTCTCGTAACTTATGCATACTTTCAGCCATCTAGTTCGAGTACTATTTTAACGGTTAACATTATAGATATAATGGAAAATGGAAACTTCGCGATGTCAATAGATGAGCGAGTTGAGCCAAACTCCAATTCTAGAGTCAAATA